CATGGAAGATTCTAGAAACTTGTAAAATGCAAAGTTCAAGCTTCATAATAGCTTTGTGTCAAAAATCTCCTTTTTTATTCTAAGAATAGGTGGCAAAGTCCATTGGAAATCTCACCCAGTTTTTATGTAGCTGGAATTGCTTATGAAGTTTTTGTTTGGTTCTTGCAGTATGTTTTAAGTAAGAAGTCTTTGGACAAGGCTTTATTTGGCAGTTTTCCTCGGATGTGTAATGTCTGTCTATAACATAAACAGATCATCAGGTAGACCTGAAGAAGATCTAGTTCAATATAAAGACTTCTGGGTTTCGTTTGTTAAGGAAACATATCTGTATCTGTTTTAGAAACGACTTTTGAACACTGACCAAGGCTGCACATCTTGAGCACCCAAGGCCCAAGCACGTGCACATACGACTGCTTAGGGCTGAGCCCATACAGACTTCCCTGAGAAGAACAACTCTTTTCTGACAGATCTTATCTTACAAGGAATGCTTTTTTAGTCAGCCAGCAGCAAGGAGATATTTCCCCTCTGACAGAAGACCACTGTATGGGCCTACTCGCTGTCATGTGGATGCCAATACTCTTTTAAGCATGAAAAGTCAGAGTCATCAACATTTTTGGAGCAAGGCAGATGAGAGTGCCATGTATGTAAAGTGTCCAACCGCAGGTCCAGTGAAACAAGCATAGGGAAAGCTAACTCACCACTGTGTTCATCGCTTTATTACAGGGTTCAAGGCAGATACAGTCTTGCCAGCTCCTGGGAGGGAAATGTCACCAGGAGGTGTGTGAGATGGTTATCAGGAAAGCACAACACTCCTGAGAGGTAAGATGGCCATGAGAGGCTGTTTCAGGAGCACCAAGGTGTGCGTGCAGGCACAGGGGCTATTTACCAGTCTATGGCTGACCTTCAGTCTCCTGTTCATGTCACATCCATTCTGTTGGAGTCAACCTTGCCCCCTTTCAAAAAAAGGGTCTTTTGTGTGCTTATTAACACTATTAGCACAGGCTGTTTTCTAATTCTGGATAATAATTGCAAAACTCTAATTACTGTAATTACTATGCTCCTGGGGTGAGGTTTTATTTTTTATCATTATTTCCAGTGATTATTTTTTGGTAAATACTTTGTTGTATTAAAAGCATGATAGACAATTGTAAGTTCTTGTAGCGCATTTATATATCAACCACCTCCACTGAATTTCATCAGTGCATTTCACCATTTATTAATCAGATATTACTAAATTTCTTCTGCCTCAAGCAAAAACAAGGAGTGGGAGAGAAAGTGACTACTGACAAATGACAAATGATGTGGCAGGCCAAGTTTGATTCTACCAACCAAGTACCAGCCCAACCTGAGCAAAGAATGGAGGTGACAGCTAGATGGCACAATTGAATATATTCTAAATCTTCCCCGAATAACTCTTTAAGGAGGAAAGTAATGTTTCAATGTGTGCAAACACTGAAACACTTCAAGAGGCAGCCTGAGACTTTGGCCAGTACTTAAAGATCTTGATCCAGTTCCCATTGCTTTCCACAGAAGTATCCAGCTCTGTCTCTTGAAACCTGTAATCCAGACCAGCCTCTTGGAGTAAGCAAGATGTTCTCTTGTGTTTTCTGATCACTCCTACGCAGATGGGATAAAAAGGTTTTTTTTCCTTCTAGAATAATCCACGAGATTATGCTAAATCTCTAAGGAAAGGATGTCTGAAATTACACCATCTTCGTTGCTCTACCCCTTACAAATATGAGCACGGAAGCCTCTTGCATTAATATAATCCAAAATACATTATTTTGAAATAGCTTGTGGTCACGCTGATATATGAGTCTTGGTTTAGCTTTTTACCTGCTAGTGTGTGGTTTGGAAAATTCTGATTCTTGCACTAAAATGTAGGTATATTATACCATTAATTACTTCTCATTCCCTTTTTGTGAACTTCACTGTGAGTGGAAAGACAGAGATTTCTCTTTTTCAAGGCTGCTTCAAGGGCTGCTTCTTTGTTTAGGTTTTTGTAAGAGTTCTTATGCCAACCTAGGCCAATCTTAACCAAAACCCACTTCATCATCCGTTATCAAAGAACTATTCATGCAACTCAGCAATGATTTTTCTAAATGACTGCGAGACCTCATTTAGATTTTTAATAAACAGTCACATTCTAATGAGGTCTTCATAAAACTGACTAAATATGTTTAGAAATCATTAGCTTAAATTACCAGTACAAAAGTCTCCTTAGGGAGCCCTGCAGATTTTGTGATAAGACTTCTGGCAGATGGATTAGTATAACAGCACAAGTGAGTTCTGAATTTCCACACAAGCAGTGTAAATGTGAGTGACTGGGTAACAGGCTACTCGATAAAGAGCTAAATGTCCCTCAGGTGGGTTCATTAAAGAGCGAAAACAATCAAAACACATTTCTGTGCCATTTAAATACCAGGTGCACAGCAGTCTGCAGGTGCCAGAAACACTGACAAGGGTCCCTTGCTGGAACACACAAGAGCTTAAAGGGATGCATGGTTTTGACAAGTGTGCCTCAGATAATGACAGATATTGGCAGATGTACCCAGACCCTGCTGGAGGGTAATGCGGGGACTGAGTCATTTGCAGCAGGTGCTTGCATTAGGGACAGCCTCATGGTGATTCCTCCATCCACAATTAAAACAGTCCTGATGCATAATGCTCCAGGGCAAGAAGCAAGTTCCTAGCACTGATTTAATGACTATCCAGCCAGTCCTGGTAAACAAATACACATACGCCCCCTAAATGATTAATTCATGAAGGACGTACACTGTGTGGCAAACATATTAAATAGATATTCCCCTTTCCTGAAAATATAAAGGAATTTTCCTCCTTTGCTTACAATGGGTCAAGAGGGTTAAAAATTAAAAATAATAGCCCCCTATAAATCTTATGCCAGCAGTAGCAATTGAGATAGCAAATCTCAAGGTTGGAAAGGTTACAAGGTTTGCTCTGCAG